TTCAGCTTGGTGCTCCTCATTCTGTTTATCTATAACATTCGTGCTTGGAGTAACTGCTAAACCATTCCATTGAATTCTATTAAACTCTTGTTCTCTCCAAATTTGATATAAACGACTATTTGATATTTTATATTTTTTACTTAGCTGAGCTAAAGGTTTAGACTTCATATCTCGATACTGCATGATGTCTTTGTAATCCGCAGGAGACAAGTAACTAGCTCTGGAATTAATATGTCTATTAAGTAAGGATTTGTTCATATTAATAGCTAATCGCTAAGATTTTTTTTATATTACAAATAAAAAATATACAAAAAATATTGATACTATGGTAGTATCAGTATTATGGTAGTATCGGTATTATGGTAGTATCAGTAGTATTAGTATCAGTAAACAGTAGTATCAGTACTATGCTAATAATATTAGTGGTAATATGGATACTATAAATAGTATCGTAGTATCAGTAGTATTCATAAAAAAATAAAGTACTTTCAAAATTTCTGGGACGGGGCCGTCTCAGAAATCGCCAAGAAAAAAAAAATAAATCATATTTTTTTTTCTGCTTTGTAACCATGCCAAGATTATGTCCAATGTGTATACATTAAACAATATAAAAGATAGAGGAGATCCTAAAGGGGTCAGGTATCGGCTAGGTAGTATCTGCGAATCAGAACTTGAGAATGCATTGCATAGTAGTATCAAATCTGCTTCTGTTCTTGCTAATGAATATAAAGACCTGCAAGGTGTATATTTAAAGCAAGAAAAGGAACTTGAGCTAGTTCAAGCTGATACTAGAAAAAAGATTAGCCAACTAAATGCATCCAATACTAGGCTTAGATCTTCTGAACGGGCATCCTATACTGAAATCCAATCGCTTAAATCTGAGATTAAAATACTAAAGAGAAAAGCGACCCTCGTCCAGAAAGCTTCATCCCTTGACAAGGATGAGATTTTTTGTCTTAAAGGTGAAATAGATAAACTGAAAGCTGAAGTAAAAGAATTGGAATCGGAGATGGAATTAGAACACACATCTTATGATTCAGATATCACTTCATTTAGGGATAAAATAAATGAATTAAATTCCCTTAATCGTATATTGGAGCAGGAAAGGGATGATTTAAATTCAAAGAAACATGAATTGGAAGCTGAGGTAGGGCATAAGGATTCTGAAATCACCTCTCTTGGAGCTAAAATAAATGAGCTAGAGAAAGTAGAAAGAGGTCTAATATGTAGATATGGGTTAATTAGCTGTCTCAGGTCTAGAGTGAGAGAATTGGAAGATCAGTTAGAACAACAAATATTCTAGTCATTCCATGAACTGAACATAATAGGTGGAGCTAAAGCAGATCCAGACTCAGCTGAGAACTCTTTGGAAAAAGAGTTCCTTCCTCAAGAAACTAATACTTAGTTAGCAGAGCAGATTTTGGAAGCACCCAGTGAGTTTAATGAAGTGATTGGAGGTGATAGCAGACCAGAGAAAGGTAATGAAATCACTAGCCCTAAAATAACCTCAGTATCACTCAATTCCTTTTTTCAGCAGAATGTGGTTTTCATTATAATAATAATATTACTAATCATATACTTCCTATGGCGCATATCCTCTTATATATATTCTTTTATTTCACTTCTCAATAAAGAAAAAAATATTCTGAATTATAAAATACCTTTAGATAGAAATCAGAGTTATGGATTCCCAATCTGTCATACAAAAGAACCAAAAAAAAGAACTACCACCTATGAAACTCTACCTTATGGATATGGACGAGGCCACAAAGCATGAATCATCCTGAAATGTTGGTCATCCAGCGATGTTATGGCCTTTCAGCATGATAATCAGCGGAAGAAGTGGTACAGGTAAGACCAATTTATTAGCAAACCTTGTTCTTGGAGATAAATGTGAGAATATATATAAAAGACAAAAAGGAGGATCCAGATATATTAGATGTGATAATTTGATAGTTTGCGGTTACCATCCTGATGAGCCGAAATGGGTATTCGTTAGATATATGTATGGAAAAATAGCAAGTAATCCCAAAGCGCCCTATTACGAGAACATTAGATTCAGCTACATATCACCAGAACAAATTCCTAGTATGAAATCATTTTCACCTGAGAAGAGTACCGTAATCATTTTTGAGGATGTATGTGTTGCTCCCGAGTCTATCCAAAATCGAATTATTCCATTTTTTACATATGGGCGTCATCGAAATATTTCTCCATGCTATATTACTCAGAAATATCATCATGTACCAATTATTATTCGTGAGAATATCTTCCTTCTAGTAATATATAATGGGGGAAGCAGTTATCAAGACATGTCCAAGATAGCTAGCCGATATACTGATGATGTAAAGGGCGCATCCATGGTTATTAATAGCTACCTCCGCAAAGGTGAGTTTGTTGTATTTGATTTCAATAGGCCGGAGGATGATTCTCTAGCAATTCGGCTAAGATTTGATACACCATTGAACCTGCAGAAGGAGATAGAAGCTAGGCAGAAAAGATTGAAAGGTATAATAAGGACAATGAGTTTGATGGAATTCAATGGAATGGTTTAGCAGTTACTCCAAGCACGAATGTTATAGATAAACAGAATGAGGAGCACCAAGCTGAA